CATAATGTTAATGACTCTCTATTTGTTGCAGGTTAGTGAGTCTGTGTTTGGCAAGTATTTTATTAGAATGATAGGTCTATTGGTTTACATTTATTGTGAGGCTCTTGATAAAACTGATTATGAAAGGCGGAGAAGTTGAAGACACTAGAGAGTTCAGTGAAAATGAATCTAAAAAGAATTAGTTTTCTATTACTGTAATAATTTCAGTGGTTTTTCATCTTCCGTTTTAGATGCCATTTTCATGCATATCAATTGCCGGGATATTAGAATTTGTGCAAAAATTTTAATAATTATAAATTTACTATTAAATCTGACTAAACATTGCAATTTTTAATTAGTTCAGCACAAAAAAAAGTTCCACTCATATCTATAAAAATATTATATTAATTAGTCTAGCTAGCTAAAATCAGCAAACTCACTACAAACTACAATATAGATGTACTACCAGTATACTAGATCTACACAGGCTTTTTTCTTAACCATTGCTTAAACCTGGTCTTTATTTTAAGCCTGTCTTTCTTTGTGTCCACACCCAGTGTTTCCAAGGTTTCATCATCAATATCAAACAAAGCAATACCATCAATTTCCATTTCCATAAACTCCTCAATGTATTGATCTAATTTCAAGGAGCGAAGATAGTCTGATATATCTGTAGAAGTAACTTTTTCAGCTGCAGCACTAAGGTCATGATCACTGGTTTGAGCTGCAGATGGAGCTTCTTCACTAACAGTCTCAGGTCTGCTTAAATTTGGAGAATCTTGTGACACTTGAGGCATGCTATCATCTTCTTCAGTCATAATGTTTTCTTCCGCTATAATTTCCTCATCATCAAAGCCATATGCACCTTTGACTGGATCATATACTTGAGTGTAATCAATTTCAGTTGCCATTTCTCTCAGGTGCTCTAATTTTTCTTCTGACCATAGATCCTCAACATATTCAGACCATTTGTTTTTATGCAAGCCTTCATCAAGTCGTTCTTCTTCAATGCAAATAATAACTCTACACATAATAAAGATACAACTAAAATGTGATATATTTATCCACTGGTAATTACTTTCTTAAACATATTCGTAATGCCATGTAGTGTCTGGGTTTTATATGTTTTGGAAATAGCTTGATAAGATTTTCATCATCATCAGTTACAAGTGACAAATTTCTCAAATATTGAAATATTGATACGTCCAGCTAAAATTAAAAAATATACAACTCTTTATTTAAACAGGTCACTTACCTCTTCATCAATCTTTTTCATAAGATCTTGTTCACAGTCTGTCAAAACAACAACAATTCCTTTTAATTTCTCCAATAGTTCATCAATGTGATCTAATAGGAAGAAATACTAAAGGAACGATTCTGTAAAGCAATATTAGTAACGCGGTAGCGTTACTAAGTAGGATTCACCCCACTTCAAAATGGCTGCCACGACTTTTGCAGCCTTGCTATACCAGGAAAACGAGCTCCTATGCTTACCAGACTTTATAGAGGACCTCATCTTGACCAGAGGACTCCATTGGTACCACTAGTGTGGCTCTAAACCTTGTCTGAGAGGAAAGTCAAAAATCCGGAAAACGGCCGTTTTGTTCAGCCACCTTTTTTCATCTTCATCATCATCATCATCATCATCATCAAGTCCTGTCAATCCAGTTGTCGGTCTGTATCTCAACTTTGCTTGGTGATAGAAGGATAATTCTTACACCATTCTACTCCAATAATGCATGCGCAGGTCCCTATTCTTTATGACAATTCTCCAACAAAGAAAGAAGTTGTACTATCACTGCTGGATCGGGCCCATCTGAGCTGCATGCCGCCATTTTATTAATTAAAGAAGCATGTGCTCCAAAATTTGGGTGTGGTCGCGCATGCTCAGATCTGCAACTCTGGAAGAAGCAAGCAAATGAAGCTATTAATCAACTGCAACACTTCGTGGAGGTTTCCAGCTAAGAGAAGGTATTATTAATCTTGCATACTATTCTTTTATTAAGTGTGTAATGAATTATTTTAT